CTGTGGTTAGACCTAAGAATTAGACATAAGTCAGCTTAGCAAGGGAAAAACATACAAGTCTTGATTTTTTGTTTATTTGTATGGTGGAGTCTTGCCTAAGAAAAACGGAGACCTAAAGAAGTTGTTATGTCTGAACTCTTATATACTAAATGGACAAAGAATAATACCTTACAAAAACATGGTAATGCAAACCGACTTTCCCACAGTTACTAAGGAAAAACTGGGAAGCTAGTTTAACAGGGTTTATACCGATTTTTCCCAGCCACGATGACCCTTCAGTGGTGACAAGAAAGTCCCTTTCCTTCTGATACAAGAGGGTGTCTTCCAGAGCTGTGATCCCCAATCTTTTTGGCGTCAGAGATTGGTTTTGTGGAAGACATTTTAACCTGGGTAGGAGGGGAGGGAAGGTTTGGGGACTCTGTTCGCGGAGAAGGAGTGGAACCTGGATCCTTGGGTGCCTGGTTCGCAGTAGGCAGGCCAGGATCAGTGTGGCCTGGGCTGGGGACCCCTGTTCTAGATGTTTTGCCCCTTTGTTTTTGTAAGTAGCAGTGGTCAAGTGCCCTTTTGCACCTGCTGTTTTTCCAATGCCTTCTTCCCAAACTCATCCTCCTGCGGATGTGAGGTATTCCAGTGACTCATCCTCGGTGTATGCACCCAGTTACACGTCACAAGAGATGGTTGCTAGCATATTACATTAATCAGGATTGCTAATCGATCCTGTCTCTCTCTCTTTCTGAGCCTGAACTTTCTCAAGTTCTTAATACAGTAACAATTGATTAGAGTTGTCAGCCCTTACCAGAAGTTACTGAGACCATAATACAAGTTGCCTATGCACACACTCATTGGATAGGTGCATGCATACATACTATGAGCCTTTTATTTTTATTGTTTCTTTTGCATAAGGGCTTTGAGTTAAAATGTGGGCCCTGGGGCTATGTGCGAGATAAGAGAGACTAAGAATAATATCCGTGGGGAGAAAGAGGAGCAGAGGGCCGATCCTGCCTGGGGACAAGCACCTAGGCTTTGTCCGTGATTTATAAAAAGGAGAGTGATTTGGAGGGAGGGGGAGTTCCCAGCCACACTGTGTGTGAGGGAGAGCAGGGGACACTTTCGCAGGGTGCAGGACACAGGGTGGCACCTGGCTGATGTTGAATATGCATTTGACAGTGAATGGTTCTGAGCTCAGCGATGAGCACCATGTTGAAGAAAGTTCAGAAATGGGTAAACAGACTGAGGTTAATCTGCGGATAGAAGTGTCTTGCTAGAGGCAGTAGCTGAAAGCATTTGTACAGACACAAGTTTATAAGGGAGAAGGGGAGAAAACTCCGTAGTCCAAGCCCCTGGAGAATATCCAGGCAACAAGGAAGGAAAAGGCAGAATCCTGAGAGGTAAAAAGCGTGACTGCAGCTCCTTGGGTTTCCCAGAGGCTAAGAAATGTGGCCTTGAGGAGAAACTTACTTTGTGTAATGTGAGCTGTGGGTTCCTGCCTGACTCCTGCTGCTGGTTCCTCCTCTGGGTGGTCAGTATTGAATGGAAACAGGAGATCTTGGTTTTTACTTAGAACTGGATGTTTAGCTTCACAAGCACAGAGCATACAGGATATGTTTCCCTTTGAATTCTGCAGTAGATGTTCCTAGATGACCACTTAACTTTAATAGTGAGTCATTCTGATTCATTAGGAAGGTCTGTTGAACACAGCACGTATTATTTTTCTTATATGCTGTTACGGGTTGTGTCTGGATGTCCCTCAAAGCCTCATGCAGTCATGGAGTGGAATTCCAGAGTTTGTGATTGCTTCATAGTCCAGGGCTGGGGTTATGGGTGTGAGTGCTACACCTGCCCTGGGGCAGGAAGCCTGCATGTGATATAAGGGAGGGAAGCTGCTTGCTGGTTCGCTCCTCCCTTTTTGCTCTTGTTGCTTTTGCTATTTTCTGCCGCCATGAGCTGTTGCCCCTGCCATGTGACACTCTGCCTTGGAGCCAGCCGAGTACGGACTGAACCCTCCACGAACTGTGAGCTAAATAAGCCTTTGCCTTTGTAATTTGGGTGTCGGGTATTTTGTCTCAGCAATGAGAGAAAAGTAACCAAGACATGTATCAATAAATGATGACCAGAAGGACAGGGTTTTCCTCTAAGGGAATGTTGCTGACTTTGGGCCTTTGATGTGTCACCCTGAGATGTTTGTCATGTTCGTGCACCATTTGTGCTTTTTTATTTAAAATGTGTGTGTTACTGATATACTGTATATTTGGATTCCCTCTCTTGCTGATTAGATGCTTCCTGTATGTCTGCCCAGTGCCTGCTTTACAACATCACTAAATGGTTTCTCCACTAGTATATGAGCTCCAGGATGGTATATTAATTATTTGCTATATGTATTTGCACAAATTTGCTGAACACAGCATAAGTCGTCCCTGTAAACATGGTTGTGATAAAAAAATATTCTTTACTCTAGGAACTCTGGAGCGGCTCAGTGGTACAGCACTTGCCTAGCATGTGCAAGGCCCTGGGCTCCACTCCCTGGCACCTGAAAAGAATGGAGGAGGAGGAAAAAGCTTTAAATCTTTATTTAATATTTTACTGCTTTGGGGCTGGGGATATAGTTTGGTGTAAGCACCTGCCTGCCCAAGCACAAGGTCCTGAGTTCAATTCCCAGTACCAAAAAAATAAGTACTGCTTTTTTAAATTGTTACTTGATCCCATATACTATTAGTTATATGATAACTACACAGAACTTCTGAGCTCTTTGGAGAACTGTGCAAGGTGCTATGAGAGAGTTAAACTATGAGGCTAGAGAAAGGGCTGTAGCTTCATCCTTCCTTGAGTATGTGCTTAGTGGGCAAAGGATCTTGGGTTCAAGCCTCAGCACCGAAACGAAAAAGAGAAAGAAACTAGGCTGGGGGCATAATTTAGCTGGCTGATAGGTGTCTTTCTGAGTTTTTCTGTACCTAACATCTTAGGTGCATAAGGGATATTTAGTGAGTAAACTCTCTGTAGACGATGGTTTATGATAATTGTAGCTCAAAGAACATACTCACTTCTTTTATTCAATATTCTAGTTAGCAATGATGAAATTATTCCTGATGTTTAAAGTTTGTGGTTGTGAGTTATTTTCTTGTCTTACTACTTGTGTGTGTATTCTGTATAGGGCCTTTCCCCCCTTAACATTAACAAATGTGGCTAGGGAGTAATTACCAAGCGTAAGGCCCTGAGTTCGATGCCCTGCACCACAAAAAGAAAAAAAAAGTTAACATCGCACCCTTAGCGAAGCCCCTTCCTTTCCAGAGGTTACTACACTAACCATTTCCCCTGAGTGTGTCTTGAACATAAAGTGCAGTTTGCCATTTCTCATTCATATTTTCTTATGTTGGGAGAGAATTAAATGAATTAACTGCTCCACTTGTAGCTTACTGTATTTTTTCCTTCCTGTGATAAATTGATCACTGGCCCAGAAATGATGAAATCAGGCCAGTGGGCATCTGGCCACCGTTAACTGGCTGAATGTATAAAAGCAATGAGAAAACCCTCAAAACCAGGGTAACCAGCAGGAGAAAATGGGGCATATAATTAGAAAGAGACATGAGTCCTCTCCCCGCTCCCAGGAGGAGAAAGGCTCAAAGATGATACTGTTTGATCTGTTAAAACCAGGTATAGGAAAATGATAATTGTAGCTGGGTGTTGTGGCATACACCTATAATTTCAACCTTTGGGGGGCGGAGGCAAGAAAATTTCAAGTTTGAGGTCAGCGTGCTACACAGCAAGACTGTGTATCCAAAAAAAAAAGATTGTATGTATTATAAACTTTCACTGTGAGTGGTTTCTTCGTTTGTTTGTTTTGTTTTTTGAGACAACATCTTGCTGTGTAGTTTAAGCTGGCCTTGAACTTGCAGCAAATTCTCTTCCCACAGCCTGTCAAGAGCTGGGAGTACAGGTGTGTGACACCATGCCTGGCTTTACTCTGAATGTTAACCTTAGAGAAAAGTGGTGTGAAGGAATTCTTATACTAATGATACACTTAAGGCATATATATTCTCATCTGGGAACTCTGTAGATTTTGGAATTTGATGAAGTAACCTGTTCCTAATGTGAATTGAGTAAAGAACTTACTAGTAAACAAATGGTTCAGCAGTGCAAGAAAACTACAGAACTTGTTTATCCCCATACCCTCTATGGCTGGATTTACGTTGAGCAGCTGGTGTCCCGGTGCCGGGCCTGGAACCGGATTAGCCTTTCTACCCAGCCCTCCTCAGCCTCCGCAAGCCCTCACAGACATGGGACGTGAGTAGCGGCATGCACCGCACTCCGGGTGCTATAAAATTTGATGTAAACTCAAATGAGGTCAGGTACTTTTGTTAAATGGCAAGGTGCTGAATCAGTGCCATGTCATCCTATTGTTGTCTATTGTTGTCCTGTTGGCTTTTATGTTGTTTAACTTAGTAATTCCAGATTCCGTTCTGTTACCTCTCTGTGAGGAAACCTGTATTTTGGCAAACTATGTATTTCTAGGATTTAGTTTCAAATTTAGCACCTTTTTCCCCTCTTTAGACAGGTAACCACTCTGGTATCTCTAGTAGACTGTTTTGTTTTTTGTTTTTGGTCTTTTTGAGACAAGGTCTCACTGTGCAGTTCAGGCTGGTCTTAAACTCACTTTGTAGCCCAGGCAGGCCTCGAACTTGCAACGATCCTCCTCCCTCAGCCTCCTCAGTGCTGGGATTATAGGCATGCTGTCACCTTGTGCAGATTTCTAGGTGTTAATCAATGCCATGTTGAAGATGAACTAAAACTAAAAGAACGACTTACATTTGGAAGAAGAATTTCCATGAAATATGGAGCAAGTGTCTAAGATAAATAAAGGTCCCTTGGTTAAGGCGGAGTTCAAATATGACCAGCCCCTTTATGACAGTGGTTAATGCTGAAGATTTTTGCACCCGGGCTACCAGAATCTTTACTGCTAAAGAACAAAATGTCCGTGAAATATTGAATTCTGTTCTTTTTTACAGTGCCTCCAAAGCCATTACATCTACAGAATTCACCTTCGTCCAATATACACCAAACCCCCAGGAAGAAAGCTTTATCTAGAGCAAAGCCCAGGATGGAGGAAGTTAAACCTGCCTCTGCTTCTTGTGTCTCAAAAGAAAAACCCAGTAAGGTGTCAGATCTCATCAGTCGCTTTGAAGGAGGCAGGTAAGAGTTAACTTGGAGTGGGCGGAGGCAGAGGGAGGAAGAAGCTCTGAATCAAAAAACGTCACGCCACGTTGCATTAGGTTCTGTAGGCCTTCGGCAAGAGCGTCTTAAAATAAAGTACAGACTCTTGCCCTAGTATGACCTGTCACTTACAGTATGTGACCAATGTGCAGTACCTGAGGCCATCAGCATGTTTATGAAATTACATGCTTTTGTGTCATTTCTTCTGCGTCTGTCACCCTTTGTGGGCCATTATGTCGGTCACTGTCTGGGTTGGAAAGGCCAAGAGGTTGTCTTGTCTTTGTGTTTACTTTGTGGGTTTGTAAGGGTGACTCCTGTGGGCTTGTCTTGTCTTGGGGCTTTATTTAGTGTAACTTTTCTATGCCCACTCCGTCCATCTCTCCTCACCCCACACCCACTTTTGGTACATTTTACAAATGAAGCTCTCAGCTGTGTGTTCTCAGAGCCTATTGCTAGAATTGCCATCACTGACTCAAACAGAATTTGAATAAAAAGTTTGATCAGAAGGATTTTTCTTTCCCTGTCACCAGAAATCTGTGTGCAATGGAATAGAACATATCTAACTTCACTTTTTCCCTTAAAGCCAAGTATTTCCATTCATTCCAGTGTAATATTTGGGAATGATTTCTCATTAGGCAGCCTTTTTTATTTGCAGGGTTCACTATTATTAAATAAACTCATAGCCGGGTGTGGTGGCACATGCCTGTAATCCCAGCACTCGGGAGGCTGAGGCAGGAGGATCACTGTGAGTTCAAGACCAGCCTGGGCTACAGAGTAAGCTCAAGGCCAGCCTGGACTGCATAGTGAGACCCTGTCTCAAAAAGATAAAAAATAAATAAACTCATAGCTTGGAAATACTTTTGAGTTGTTCTGGAAATTGTGACCAAACACAAAACTACAGTTTCCATCATTTAAAATAAGATTATATTTAGCTACAAATTCTGGAGAAAATAACTTAGAAGCCTGGCTTCATTTTTTATTCCTGATTAATTTTGGGAACTTACATCCTACATCTTTAAACTTCAAGGTCTCCTGTTCTAAAGTAGGATTTATAATATCTTTGCTAGCTGGAATGATAGCAGTCTTTTCAAGAATAGTTTAATTCCCTTAATTTTTTTTTTTTTTTTTTTTTGCACAGAGTAAGTTCAATATTCAATAACAGCAACAATAATAACAGACATTTGATCTCCTGTTGGCAGATTCTAGCAGCCGGTCTCATTCCCTCCATGATAGGAGGAGGGCATCCTTAGGGCACCCTGGTACCCATGTCCTAGGGTGTGGTCTCCGAACGGTAAGGCCTGTCTCCCTCACCGACCGGAAGCCTACACTTTGCATTATTTCAGAGTCTTCTCTACATGGGAAATGGGCAGTTTTTCCACTTAATACCATCAGGTTTCTTTTACTCTTTCAAGCTGCACAGATTCATTTTCTCACGCAGAGCTGGAAGGTTGGAGCTCAGGAGTGACGTGCTGTAACTGACATTTTTCAGCAAGTCTGTTCTGAGGGCAGACGGCGAGATGTGTTTGGTCAAGTCCTCAAAGGGACGTGACTTGGGGGCGGAGTCCACTGCCGATACAGTATGGGCGATGGCCGCAGGGGGCAGCACTGAGGTGTGTGCCCGCCCCCGAACGGTCAGAATGGGTTAATACTGCATCAGCTCTGAAGGATCTTAATGGGAAATTTCTCTGCACTGTTGAGTGGTGACCTTGTGCCTGCAAGGTGATTTGGAGACTGGATCCCAGTTATCATGGCCTACAGGAGCACCTTGTGGAATAAGGGGACATCACTCGTCTCTGGGGCAGCACAGGGTGTGGGCAGGAAGAGCTAGCCTTGCCAGGGTGGAGGCCGGTCAGGATGGTCCTAGAGGGCCACGTCCCACTGTGGCCGGGACCTCACCGAGCCATAACCCAAGTAGCTCTCTTCATTAAGAACAGCAATTAAGGGGCTGGGGATTTAGCTCAGCGGCAAAAGTGCCTGGCTGGCAAGCACAAGGTCATGAGTTCGGTTCCCGGTACCGGAGAAAACCAAAACAAAAAAAAACAAAAAAAAAAGAACAGCAATTAAAGCAAATAGAGTTATTTTTTACTGTAGTTTCCCTCCACCCCGTCCTTTTTCTCTCTCCTTTCTACCACAGTAAGAGAGTACTCTTTTTATCCTAGGAAAGCCTTGGGGTTTTAGAACTAGCTCTGCCCCGCAGACACGGACATCGGCGTTCAAGGGCTTCGCAAAGCCAGCTGTCCCCCACGGTTTCCGGCCCACGAGGCAGCGGCAAGCATGTTGCACCACTGCTTTTCCTGGCCCACCACCCGCGCGCACACCCTCGCTGTCCCTTACAGATAGGACATTTCTAGCTGCCATTAACGGCACTCCTGAAAAGCCCTGAGCACGCCTCGGTGTGCTGAGGACCCTTGGAGGTCTTTCTGTCAGGGCATCTGACCCTGAAGTGGGCACAGAAGAAGAGAGCTTCCTTCAGATCCCCCAGGACTGCTGAGAAAGGAGGGGCAATTTGGCTGGTGCGATGTGGCGCTTCCATTTATATGGGTCGCCTCCAACCTTTTCACGTGTATCACGTTCCCAGGAAATGTTCCTGTCCCTTCCTGCGCTGCTGTCCCGCAGTACCACCCACATCTTTCCCTCCCTTCCCACTTTCTTGTTACCTGTGTAATTCCTGGCTTGCAGTCTCTGGTCCTGAGCAGCAGCCGCGGCTGGGCGGGTAGGACGGGTGAAGAAAGCTGCCCTGCGTGTCTTAGCTCTGTCTGTGGGACGTGCTCCTCCTCTGCCCGCTTCTCACCCACCCCTTCCCTGCCGCAGCCTCGCTCCCTGCCCTGGGCAGGATGACCGGCCCGGACCTCCCCACGTCTGCAGCTTATTCACTCCTTTGCTCCTCGTCACATCCTAAGTGTTGCAGTGTTACGAGGTAGGGTTAGACCAGGAGGACATGGGCCGTACAGCATCGTTTCCTCAGCCTGGGTTTCTCTGTTTATGGGTCCCTGCTTCTAGATTTATGAAGAAACATGATCCACTTGGAGGGCTTATTGTGGCCTGTGGCCTTAGTATAATAACTATTATGCGCTGTTGCCGTCCCGTCGCGGTTGGCGTGATGCTTACTCCTAGCCATCAGATACCTACCTGGAGGAAGGCCACACTGAGCACTGGGCCGAGAGGTGGGAATAAGGCAGGCGGCCAGGCAGCACAGGTGCACCCTCACAGGCATTCTCTTTGTACATATGCTCGTTGAGGTCATAGGACTCTCTCAGCATGCAGCCTGGGGGTCCCCTCCACACCCTGATATCCTGAGTGCAAATGCACCCTCATATTTCCATAGGAAAACTGCTATGCTAGGAGTCGGTTCCACGTTCTCCTTAGTGCTGTTGGGACCGTGTCCAGTGTGGGGGACGGTAAGGAAAGTGATCTGAGGCGTGGAGGTGGAGGGGGGTGTGCTCCTTTACAAGCCGATCCAGAAAGGCTGAATGACGAAAAGGAGTAAGCCACGGGTGTCCTGGAGACTTTACTGGGGAGAGAGCCTTGCAGAGACCCTAGGATGTGCTCTCCGGCCCGCAGTGGGGAGGACCCAGGGGTGGGGTCACATGGGGCCAGTTGCGATGTGTTATCGAGGACAGACAGTCTCTTAGGTGTCCCTGGGGCCTCAGTTTACCCGTGAGTGTGCAAGGAGGCCTCTGCGTTTGTTCTGACTTGCGGGCTCGAGTGCAAGGGATCCGGAAGGCAAACACAGGGCCGGGAGGCCACTGCTGGCGCAGTCACAGTGAGAGTGTTCTGCTTCGCGATCAAGGTAGCTCTGCAGACCCAGTTCATCGAGGGGAGCTGCTGTGCGTGTTCTTAAATGTGAAGTCCAAATGTGGGGGAAAGATGCCTTCATCAAACAGAGGGGCTTCTTCTCCTGGAAGGCTTGACTACCTAGAACATCACCGATGGGTGGGAGGGAGGAACTGTGCCAGCCCTCCAGGTGGAGCTCGGGCTCGCGTCTGTGTCACCCCAGTTTAAGTGTGGCTGGGCGACCCCATGGGAGCCAGGGAGACCCCTGGGCCCCGGCTCCCCTCACGTCTTATTCTGTGCCTGTCTCCATCCTGTTTTGCAGCACGCTGTCGAGCTCCCACGACCCGAAGAGAGACCCCACCGCGAGCCCGCGCACCCCGGGCCGGCAGGGGAGAGCCGCGTCCCCGCTGCGCGTGCCCAGGCCCGGGGACCGGGGCGAGCACACGCGGGGCGCGCAGACGCGCGTGGCCAACGGCATGGAGGCGCCGCCGAGCCCTGGGGGACGCGGACAGGGCCCAGCCAGCCCCGAGCCCCCGGGACCCGCGCCACCTGCAGACCCCGCGCCCGGCGCGCCGGCCATGAACGGAGAGCCTGAGGGGCCCAGGGCCCCTGCCGAACCCCAGGACCCGCAAGATGGTGATGTCTCCGACGGCAGCTGCAGGACCCCGGGTGCGGACCCCGCGCTCCCTGCGAGCGGAGGAGAGGCCCGGCGGGAGGCCGCGCTCCAGGACCTGGAGAACGGGGAGAGCCCGGTGGAGCCGGAGCAGCACGTGCAGCAGCACCCCGAGACGAAGGTAGGCCCGGGGCGCACTGGGGAGGCGCTCTTCCTGCGGGAGACGAAGAGTGGGGCCACCAGCCCAGCGCCCCAGCCTTCCTCAAGCGCTGGGTGCCCGTGGGTGACCGCGCGGTACTTGACTTTCGTGATTTCAAGAGTGAGAGTGGTGTGGAGACTGGTACAGGAAAACCACAGCCCCGCGGTCTTTGTTTAGGGGTTATTCTGAGACGGGCTTGCTGAGTAGTCCAGGCTGGCCTTGAACTTGCAGCGATCGTCCTGCCTCAGCCTCCCAAGTGCTGGGATCACAGGTGTGTTAACAGAGAGCTGATTTGCTAGTGAAGTATATTCATAATTTTCAGGTATTCAGGTCAGTTAAAGTGTTGCATTTTCTTAATGTTATAATAAGAAACCGTATTACATATATTGAAAAGTTAGTGGTATGTCATGGACCAAATCAGTAGAACCAGGATGCTACTTCGGGCAGTAACTTGTAGAGACCTTTATGTAACTCCAGTAACAAGGCCGCCCTCAGTTAGCTCTTTATTCATGTCTGTGCAGTAGGAATGTTAGGAACTGTGGCTTCTGTGTGGTATTTGGGAATCTAGCGGGTCAGAAGTCCAGTATCAGCACGCTCGGTTTCCCTAGAATTAGAAACGTGTTTACATCTCTGAAGATAAAGTTTCCATTGCCTAGTCCCTTACAGATCATGCTAAATAACTATGTGAGAGAGTTCAACATTGAAAATTTTGATAATTACAGGAAAATTTGTAGATGGCAAGTCCCAGTCTTAAATTCGTTTAGGAGTTTTTAATACAGCTGTGCCTTTCTGGACCTGAACATAGGCAGAATATTAAAAGGACTGATTCTAAAATATTAGGGTAAAAAGCGATTAGTGGTTATATTTAGAACTTGGACGGAAGTAAAATCAACCTCAGGGTATAATTTGCACTGACCCAGAAAAAATCAGATACACAAAAGAACCAGTGGCTCATTTCTTCCAGTGAGTAAGTTCATTTTAAATACTAGCTCTTGAGCAGTGAAAGTTTAAATAAGGAAGTGGGTGAAGAAAGTGACTCATACTTGGTGACATTATCTGCGGCAGTCAAGAAAGAGGACATTGCAGAGTGACTGTCGAACTTGATGTGGTGGTAGATTTTAGGGTCTTTGTGCTTGAGCCGTGATGTAAGGAAGAGGCGGTCAGAACAAAGAAACCTTTTACAACGGGAATGAAGCCCCCAGTGAGTGTTGATAAAACTGTAAGAGCTGTTCTTATTAAGGAAATGTTTTAACTGGTAATGATTGTGTTCACTGGGTGCTATTTTTCCTATTTTATGTTAAATGTTATTATGTAGGCCTCTTCATAGAGGAAGCGTGTTTGCTTTGGGAGAGATTCAGTAGGATTTTATTATTAAGCTAGCAAGATGGTAGTAGAGCTGGCTTTTGTGCTAATTGGGCTTTTAAGCAGTAGATGGCACAGGCTGTTTTGGGAAGGAAAAGGAGATTTTCTCTACAGAGTTGTGATCCAAACACCCTATCTCTCCCATCTAAACACACAAGACTTCGTGTCTGCGTGGTGAGGATATGTTCTTCCTGTTGCCCCGAGGGCTGCTGCATTACCTTTCCTGGTTCCAAGATGCACAGATGTGTCTGTGGTAGCAAGAGGGTCAATTTTGTTGAGTGTATTTTACTGTGACTGGAAGGAGAAAAGTTAAAAAAATTTAGTATATTTTTGGCCAAACAATTGAAACCAGAAAAATCTCAATGTGGCATCTTACTTGTGCCCTGGTTAGCAGCGTGACCTCACACAAGTCAGGACTGCTCTTCGCGTGCGTAGGGTGTGTACATGATCAGATCCCAAGGTCCGGTCAGTGGCAATACAGTGATTCTGCGCCGCTGTATGTGGGTGCGTTACCTCGCGGGGTAACCCTCCAGGTAATCGGCTGTTTCTTAAACCAATGTGAACTTTTAAGACAGTGGGATATTCTGAGTTTCACTATGCAGACAACTGAAAAAATTACTTCTGTTTTTATGTAAAGGTATAGAGATTTATATCAGAATTATCTTAATTTTATTTAAACCAATCTTAAACTCAGTGGACATCTTCCCAGTGCCCACCAAGGGTAGTTGTTGGTAAAAAGTTGGTTTCTGTTTGGGGCGACAGGTCCCGAGAACGAGGTGTGGCAGATGAAAAGAAAAACGAGAGACAAAGTTATAGGATCAGGGGGCTGCAGCCTCTAGGACTGAAGCTTTGATTACAATCTTCTTCAGCCTTTTATTGGGATTCACACAAAAAGCAGCAACAGGGGGAATGGGAGGAATCATTAACAGGATGAGCGAGGGCGATACAGTTTAATTATCCCAGGAACTGAACTTTGACTTAGCCAGCCACCAGGTCGTCATTCCTTGGGATGTATCTCAGCAAGGCGTCTAGTGCTGTCCCAGCGGCTTTCCACAGGGACTAAGGTCCTGCTCTCATTTCCTTTTACACTAATATGTTTGCTAGACTTCCACCAGAAACAATCATATGGCTTGGTCAGGCTCAAAGTCCCATGTAGGTAATACATTGAAAGGTAAACCGTAGAATGTCCTTCTCCACAAGCAGTGAGAAAACCAGGGGATGAAAGATGGAAGCAGAATGGCAAATGCAGTTTAGGAATAGACGGATATTGTAACGAACAGTCATTAATAACTGAGAGCTGGTTTACAAGAGTTCAGCTTAGGAACCCGTATCATTGATTTTTCTGAGATACTTCGGTGAAGATCACTTTTATTGGCAGGTATGGAATGCTCTTTATTTTACCATGTGCAAGATAACGAGTTCCTAAGTGAATTTCTGCCCTCTACCATACTCTAGTGAAGCTACTCTTTCCCAGTGATTACATTTTGTTTGTCTGTGTGGTCGGTACCAAGAATTGATCCCAGTGGCTGCCAGCCCTTTTTTATTTTAGATTACAGCAGAGAACTGCTAAATTGCCTAGGTTGCACTTGAACTTGTGACCCTATTGCCTCAGCCTCCCAAGTAGCTGGGATTACAGGCTGGTTAAACATTTTGTAGTGCCAGTGATCTAGATATAACCAGACATCTAAAGTAAGCATGTATGTATTGTTTTTAAAACCTCAAAACTAAAAGAAAATTGTGAGTACTTTGCGATACTGTTAGCTGTCATCCACCAGGCCAGGTATCTTTAAATTTAATCATCTATTATAGCAAATGACATCTACTAAAGGGAAGAAATTGTTAAAAGGAGACACACTGGCTGGGGATATAGTTCAGTGGTATAAGTGCCTGCCTGGCAAGTGCAAGATCATGAGTTCGATCCCTGGTACCGCAAAAAAAAAAAAAAAAAAAAAAAAAAAAAAGGAGACACACTGAAGCTCCTAAATTACAGGAAGAAAAAGGCAAAGAATATTGTAGGGCACATGTGCACCTGTATCCACTCAGGCAGAAGCCCCCAGGGACACAGCAGGGTCAGGCTATAGAGCTAGAGTTCCTGTCTGGTGTGCTGAATTTGGGTTATCATAAATAGCTTTAGCTATATTAATCATATTCCTATGAGACTCAGATAAATTCTTCAGTATGTTTTAGGATGCATTTTATTAAAAATGATTATCCTTTCTCAAATTTATATACACTAAAATAAGTTTTTGTCTAAAAATCCACTGTTGTGGAATGCTAAACTTATTGAGCATGAAAACTGATCTTTGTGTTTTATGAGCCTTTGAATATTCAGGGTGCACTACAGGATCTATTGGTATATTTTTTCTTTAATCAGTACTTCCTCCATGTAGATTTATACCTTTGTAATATATATATAGATAGAGATATACATCTCTTTTATTTTATATTTATATCAGCTTTATACAGCAATCGAATATAAATGTGTGGCATTCTCCTTTTAAGACTAAAGTTTATATCAACATCAAATCTCTACTACAACATAAGTTCAAGTTACTAATATATAAAAACTCTAATCATAAGTTAATAGGAATATAACAGAGGCAGATCCTATTTTGACCAAAAACGTTAGAAATTATATAATTAAATGACTAATACATGAAGAAGGAAGTCTATGCAAAGTTGAGACCTCTAGACACATATTACGTTTAATAGCTTAGCTCTTTTTCTGGTTCTGATGTTTAATTAGTTTTACTTAGTATATTCATACAAGCCAGCTGTTAAAAATACTGAAGCTGTTAAAAATACTGAAGAAAGAATTAAGATAATTATCATCACTCATAAGGAAGCGAATGACTGAGTCAGATCCAGTGGTACGTTGGGGGTTTAGAGCCGTCGACTGAGGTGGAAACTTGTATGAACCAGTTCTCTGAGGGGGCTGCTGAGAAGTGGGGAGTGGGCAGCGGCTGGGGGTCGGGAGGAGCAGCGGGGAGTGGGTGTGAGAGCTGGGGACAGAAGAGGGTGGCGCACTTGAGGGGAGCTCTCTGACCTCGTAACAGCACCAGGAAGACTGGAGCAAGAAGAGTGGGGTACGCAGAGGGCTGTGCATACCTAGTAAGAAGTGCTGTCTTTCCCCTATGAACAATATTTTTAAAGCTATTTTTGTAAAAACTAAGAAGTTAGTAAACACTGGAAAACAAGAAAATGTAGCAAAGCATAGAAAACGTAAAAGCCATCCATAAACTTACTCCCCAGGAAGAGCGGCTCAGATCTTTAACATTCCACCTAATTTTTCTGAGCTAATGTTTGAGCAAGCATGGTCAGCTGCACGATGCATGTTCACGGTGTATCCTGTTTTGTTGGACTAGATGTAGGTGTTTTCCTATATGAATTCAGACTTTCCACAGCTGGAGACTGTCACAGACTCTCCAGTAGAGTGTAGAGGTGACAACGATGACACATCTGTGGGCTTCAGAATGCTGAGTCAGCGCAGAGAAAGTGGAGAGGAGGTCAGGAAGCAGGTGCTGCAGCCCAGGTGTGGGCTCCCGAGGATCTGGCTCTAGAGCGTGAGCCCTGCTCAAATCCCGGCTTGGATGAGGTGGTGGACATTGCCATGGACTGAA